AATTTCATGTTTTTAATTCTTGCTTTGGAACTGATACCATGACTTGAACTGTATAGCTGCGTGGTGGAGGAAAGAGAAAATCTCTTTCTCATACTACTTACTGTGCCTATATAGAATCAGATAGAAGCCTTACTGCAATTTTTTTCTTGCAGTGCATTTGTTAGGACCTTCTGGCATAACTAGCTCCAGGATTTAAAGAGTGCCATCTGTTTGAATTTTATTTATTCATATTTTTTTAATTGGTGTTATCTTTTACAAATAGAGGCTGTTAAAATGCTTTAACCTGCAGGCAGAGTTGGTTTGTTTGAATTGCAAGTGTGCCTTTCCTGCCTCATGCTGCCCTCTTCTCTCAAACTGTTTGTGGTGGTGGTGGGATACTTGGTTTGACGTACAAGCTCGGAGGCCCCTTCAGAATGTTCACTGTATCGTTAATAAGCAATGACATAATTAGTAATGCATAGATCACTGTGACAACATCCAGTAAAACCTGGAAATAGCTATTCCTCTCCTTATTAGTACTTTTAACAACTAAAGGTATTATATAATAAAATGTACATATTTTCAGCTACAGATGTGATTCTTCAAATTAATTCTACTCATTTGTTTCTGTGAACTTCATATAAAAGGTAATCCTTATTTGCTTTGTAAATTTGGGTTAATTTATTAAGTCAACACACTTAATAAAGTCTGTTGAGGGTAAGTAATAAGAAAGGGAGGAAAATAAGCACATAGGAAACACCTGCAGGTTTGTTGATTTTTTTCCTTTTCTTTTTCAAAAAGAAGCTTAAGATATTTTCATTTACAGCTAATGTTCTGTTGTTTGTAGCCAGAGTAATAAATTAGATACTTTGATGTGTGCAGAGGAGTATGGAATCTTTGTGCCTTATGAGAGTTGGTCATAAATTATGTCGGTTAGGAGGGTTGTTCAGGATCTAAATATTGAAGCTGGAACGGAGCAGTGGAAATGCATTGAATCTACAGTTACATGAAGTGAAACCTTCTCAGATTTATTGACTTTTTGTTCGTGATCATGGACCGTTTCAAGTAAACATGTTTACGTCCAATACCACATGCACCTAGATAAACAGTACTGAGTTCAAGGTGAACTACTACAACAATTATTAATAGCCCTCAGGATTTAATAGAAGTATATCACATGAGGATCTTGCAGGTTTCATGCTTGTTGCTACCTTGAAATGTAATAAAGTTTGGTTGGCATAATGTATGTTTTTACATATGACAGACAACATTTTACATAATGTAGTATGTATAAGTCTACTTAGACATGACCTGCCTGTAAAGGTAGTGTTGCATAATGAAAACACTTCCCCATCTCCCCTAGGTACTTTTCAAATCAAAGGAAATGGAACAGTTTTAAATGCAAGTTTCCACACACAGCAGTGCTTTCCCAATGGGTGCAAGACTCCATTGCTCATACTTCCTGCAGAGGGGATGAGCCTGTGACAGATTGTAGTCATGTTGTTGGCAGGTGAAGCTCAGAGTCTGGATGGTGAAGTGACCGAGGTTGGAGGTCCTGTTCTTTTTTGCCAGTGTCCTGACTTGTGAAGGACAATGAACTGCCATCACATAAATGAAATTAACCTCAGGGATGGCAGGAAGAGTAACCTGAATAGTTTAATAGCCTCAAAATACTTCTTTTCTTAAGCTGCTTCTTTTTTGCTGCAGGTATAAACTGAGTTACTGTGATTGCCATAATTGTGTAATAGTATTTCTTGATACAACTTTGTGAGGTTGCTAAATCCTAGATAAAATAAGTATTTAAGAATACAGGTTGCAGACTTAGTGTTGAGAGTGTATAGTTGATCTTGAAGCTTGGTACAACTATAAACAAAAAAATGGGTTAGATTGTTATTTTCTGTTGCTCAGTTGTTTCATTTGCATTCACTCTTTCTGTCCCTTTTTGAGGATTGATCCTGTTTAGTTTTAGTTATGGGTAAGAGGTTATATCTAAGTGGGATCCAGTAAAAATCAAAACTGCCTGTTCTAGGGTGCTGTTAGAGAATGGAAAAACTAGTGTATGTTTTGACATTCTTCTGGCAAACTTGTTGCATGATTCAGGAATGAAGTCAAGGGCTTTCAAAACATGAGAGATGTATACCTAAGTGCCTTCAGGGTATGCAGAAGTTCAGGAATAGGTCTCTGACGGTGACTTGACATGACATCTTGCAAGTGTACGTGAAATGAGAAGTGTTTTTGAAATATTATAAGCACTGTTTCTTGCAGGACGTGGGGGACAACCAATTTTCTTTGAGTATTAGGAGACTAAAAAAAATTATTTTAAATAAATGAGAAGAAACGGTAGGAATGTTAACCCCTCTCAGATTTGGGAAGCTATTTGCCAAGGTGAAATACCTTCCATGTGCTCCCCTACGTGTTCCTATATAGCAAATACTTAATTGTTCTTAAAATTTTGTGATGCTTTTGTTCCTTAGTAGTGACTTCATAGGAGTGCTCTTCTCAGGGTTTCCACCAGGATGTCAGTTCGTGTGACTCCACTGCACCCTGCGTGGCAGTCTGTAGTGTGAGAAGTTTGCATTAATGTACAGCAGGTGCATAGAACAGTGGCAGGTTGGTGGTTGGGTTGCCCTTTGGGCAAGTAGTAGCTGTGGGATTGCATTTTCCTCAGGCATAGAAAGTTGCAGAGCCGGGCCAGCTGCGTCCTGGGAGAGTTCTCCATGACAGGGCACCAGTGTGGTTGTTCAGCAGGAGGACTTCAGGCAACTGAGAAAATTTTGCCAATAATATGAAACTATTTTCTGCTTTCTAAATATAGAGCAGTCACTTCTATTTCCATAATAAATTTGATAAAATGATAGCGTGGAACAAAATTTGGCACGTAAAATACTGTGTCTCCATGTATGTATATGCGTGTGTTATAAGTCTTTGATGTCAGTTTTTACAATACGACAAAGCTAAAGTGAGGTTATTTAAACATACTTATTAATACTGTATTTTTATATATATAATACATATATTTTTATTTTATATATATATATATATATATAACAATTTTTGTTAATAGGAAAACCCCCACAGAATTTCATTCTAATTCATTGCATCGTGCTTGAGGAGAAAACCCAGTCTGAAGCAAGGAGTGTTGGAAAGTACCCTTGCACAAGTTACAGGAAACCCTGGCATTTTACCTGTTTTCCACTCCTCCTATGAAGACATGTCAGATTCCTTGGGATTTTTAAAAGGTCATAAACAAAGAACATTCTTAAGTATACAGTTATGGCTAATTAAAAACTAGACATTTGTTAGTCAGTGTTGCTTGTGTTTGAAAAGAACGTCTACGTGTGCCAGTCTCTTGGTGAAGAAAACATGGCTTAGCAGAAGTAAAGGAATGGTTGCAGACAAATTACTTCACTGGTTTAAGTTTACTTTACAGTAGAATTGAAATGTTTTTGTTTAAAAAAAATAGAAGGTTTTTTTGGAAGAGCTGAGCTGAATTTTGTCTTGCACCTTGTCAATGCAGAATTGAAGCTTTTCCATGTGGAAGAGGTTCCAGTTGTGACTGCTCTGATTTAGCATTCTGTTGTGAAGGATAGCCAGTCTTTGAAAACGAAATGCAAAGATGGTCTTTGTAAAAATCACGGTAGAACATGCAGCCATACTGAAAGAATTAAAAATTCCCACAAAAACCTATTGTTCGGGGTAGCATAGCTCTCTAGTTCCTTTAAATGAGATCTATGTTTTTCAGGCATAACATTACTATTTCAGTTAAGACTATTTAGTTTCTTAGTATTTGGAACTCTATTAATTTGGTTGCTGGTTCAAGATGGAAACTGTTTTCTGTATTTCTTTGATGTGAACTAAAGTAAACTACCACTTTGAGTATTGATTTAAATTTGCTAGAGATATTTGAAAAATTAGAATAGTTTTTAATTTCATTTAATTTTTAAATATGTAGGCACAGCCCTGCAGGGGTTTTTTTTGGAGAGATCAAAATCATTTTGGCAGGGGATAATCTCAACTACATGTGATTTTGTTAGTCGAAAATACATAAGAAGCAATTCAGGAAAACGATGAGAGGATTGGAGTAGGGAAAGTCGTCTCTCTTGAGTCATCATAATCAGCTGGGGAGTATCAGAGCATAACTTCAGCCAGATACTGCATTTTTGAGACGTTTGACCTTTGGTCTAAATCCTGTAGTAACTTTCTTAGTTTTCTGGGTGGCTGAATTGTACCTGCGTTACCACAACTGACACAGGCAAGAATTACTGGCTTTGAAAGACTTAGCCTAACCTATTTAGCTGATTAAGGACTCTTATTCACTTCAATTCAGTATACATGCTACTGAAGTAGTGTACAGCTGATTAATGTGTTAATGTAGCTGAATAGCTCATTCTATATATATTCATAAATCTACAACCCGTTCCTATCCTTAAAAACACTAAAAGATAAAAGATTCTTTTTGGCCTGTGCTTTATATGCAGTCTTGAATCTTAGCAGTTAGTTTTAAATAAAAAAGTATTTATCTTTTAGATACTAATTATAAATAATGGAAATGTCTGTTACTTCCTGCCTTTAAATGTGTTCTAAAAACAAGTGGGAGATTTGGCCTAAAATTCAATAGACACCATGTTGTGTTCTTATGAAAACGTCTGATTATCAACATGGAGCTTAACTGTTTTAAGTTGAATACTTTTGAATATGAATAATAAGTAACATAAGCATTAAAAAAGATGGTACGGGACAATATACTTACCTGCTTCATGGCATAATTACATCTTTTCCTTCTTGTAATTTTTTTCCTTTATGTAAACACTGGAACTTGTGAAGGACAAAAAGCCTCCAGCATAGTTTTAGTATGACTTATGTTTCTAGGAAAATACTCTTTCACTACTGAGAAAAAAGACCATGTATTGGCTATGTGAGAAATATGTTTCAGTTTTCATTGCATTACCCTTTGTTTTGTTTTAGCCACCACGGTGGATTGCAGCTGGATGACAAAAATTAAGTATTTCTCTTTATTCTAGATGTGGGCACTCTCCTGTGTACCGTTGCCGTGAGATGTCGGGTCAGGCCCTTGTTCCATTTGTTATGGTAAATGAAGTACCACATACAGTGCTGTCCTTGCTGGAGGGGCTTCCAAACTCTACCAGTCATTGCATACGACAGAACAGTATTCATGGAACACTACTGCAAGTAAGTTTTTGAGGGCTGTTTTTTGGTGTTTTTTTCATTGGAGTTTGTTTTTTGTTTTTTTACTGTAGGGATTTTGTTGAATTTTTTTTGATCATACTTGACAGCCAAATAACACAATGAGTTGTGCTTAATGTTCGCACATTGTCAAAACATATATGAAGAGTGATTCTGATTTGATTCTGTCAGATGATAAATGTGGAACGCACATTTCTGCTGTCATTAGAAGGCAGTAAACTGTAAATAGTAACATTTCATATAATGTTTCATCTTTAGAGATTAAAGTGCTTAGGAGCAAATATCTTTATCTGAATATATTTACAGAGATGTCTGCGTGACTTGCCCAAAATGACTGGGCAAAACTGAACTCCAAGCACCAACACCATTGTGTATATTTTGAGACTTGCTCCTTACCCATGTATTTATTTATTACTTCATTTGCTTTTCCTGCTGCACCAACAGCTTCCTGTCAGTTTGCTGCATAAGTTGTGTTAAGCTTTACCCTGTCGTCTTCTGGAAACATTCTGGAGAATAGCTCACTTATCAGAAATTTCTTCATTCCCCTTATATCATTCCCTTGGTTTATAGCAGTCAGTTCACTGTGTTTGATTTTTGAGCTATTGTGGTAATAAGTTACTGATTTTTATTGCCTGTTTTTCATGAGCAACCCTCCAACAAAGCCACATTGTACACGGTCAGCTCTGTTGGTCTGCCTTAGTTGGCAAGCTTTCTAGGTATGTGTTCCCACTGTAAGCTGTGTGGTGGGGTGTGTGTGGTTGTTTTGATTTGGGTTTTAATGATATCTTTTCCAGCATATTATTTCCTTTTAAAACCATGACCTTTCAGGAAGCTGGGGATGGGGAAATGAGAGAAGTCGCGCTAGAGCTGTTAATGTCAACTTTACCTGTAAATGGTTTCAGGCAATTGAATTTGGATTTGGATTGGTTACAGTGGAGGTTGTTGCAGGGTGTGGGATGATCTCCCACTCTGAAAAGCAGTCCATGCACCTGATAGATGCAAGTGCTTAGACCTGTGAGCTACTGCATCTGTGTGGGGCGGGGGAGAGTGCCATCATTAAATTACCTGTGCAGCCCTGCTGTGTCACAGCTCAGGAGTTAGGAAGAGAGGGTTATTCCAACAGTGAGAATTAAATGCATTCTTAGTCCAAAATGACTATAAGCCCCATCATGGGGCATGGACTGGCTATAGTGTATAAAGCTGTTGCCTCCTTTTTAGTGACCTGGGGGAAAAAAACCAAACCCAAAATGATAATAATGATGGGCTGGATATCAAAGAGCCCAAAGGATGATCTAGTTTTTAATATCCAGTATTGCTAAAATGATCTTATGTGTAGGTGTAGGGAGTTTTCCATACCTGTGAGGTAGGAGATATTCTCAGGGCTTGAACCTGATTTTTCATGAGTTTTGAGCAGCTACTAGAAACTACTTACTGCAATTGGTACTGCACCAGGAGAGACCAGTGCTGTCAGAGTATGATATTCTTCCAAAAATGTCAGTTGTACCATAACAGTTCACCCGTTTGGTTTCTCACATTTGTCTTGGGCTTTGACTTTACAGCTTCTGAATCAAGGACGTTCAAAATCTTTATTTAATGCTTAATTTAATTTAGTGTATGACTGAAATGCTGAACTATCTGTGGCTAGTTTAACATAACAAAATGTTCAGAAGAAATACTGTAGGGTGATAAAGATGTGCAAAAAACGGAGGCAAGGCAGTGATCTTTGTTGTACCTCTAAAACACTAATGCCAGGTGGATAAACATGTAGTTAGCATGCACCTCCTGTAAATAGTACCGAAAGTACTGTGACTTTCAGGGATTGCTGCATGCATGGTTTCAGTTTCCTTTTATCAATGTTAAGTTGGGACTTGCAGAACTGCCTCTAAGGCTCATTAAAGTGTAGAAAATAATGTTACGGGACTATTTGTTAAAACACTGTTTCTGGGAAGACTTACTTGAAGAGACAGTGATCTGGCAATGTTCAAAACTGTTTGCACTGCATTTCCATGACACAATAGAGAATTTATCATCCTCCTTGATATAAAACCAAAACAAAAATCCCTACTAAAAAGAGCAAGTCTATACAAAACTCAATAAAATTCAGATTTTTCCAGCAATACAAAGCCAATATCTTACAAAAATGGAATTCAGTAATTTCATTTCTTCAGTCACATTACAAGCTACTAAGTTCATTGCTCGAGTTTTTTGTTTCAGTGTTCATATGCTGTCGGTTCTTTAACAAGAATTATTCAGAATTAAACCTTATGTGGCAGTGCCAAATGCAATGAATCTTGAAGGTATATTTCAGTTATGTTTTGGAGTTATGCAATCATTTTATGCATCTGTTGCAAGACAAGTGTTAATTTACAGAGAGATCATTCAAAAAGAGTCCAGCGTGGAGTGCCTGTCCAAACATGACCTGCTTTTCAAAATGCTGAGATGACTAGAGTGATTTTTTTTATTTTTTACACTGAATGCAAATGTGTTGTGTTTAACTTCAGACCTCTGCATTATGTGAAAACATGGCTTTTTGTCCCCGGTGTGATTACTGTGACTCAGTTTAAATACAAATATGAATGTGCATGAGGATAAAATAATCCTATGCTTTACAGGTTTTATAGAATAATTCTTTTCAAGAATTATCTAGGAGGAATGCTGCTGTTCTGTAACTCTTTGGGAACTGATGATATTCTTCAAGAAGCAATTCTGCATCCTAAATAAGTGCACTGATTTGAATAAGACAAAGAAAATCTTTTCTATGTTTAGTGTTTCCTTTATGACTGCAGTGTCTACTTTGCTCTGTAATCCAAAATGCAGGGGGGAAGGGAATCAAGTTTTTAATCCACAAGAAAATGCAGAAGTCTTGTACTAACCTTCTAGAATGATGAAACATTTCTGGCTTGTTTTGTTTTAAGATCTAGGTTTTTAGCTGATCAGCTGAAAGAAAGAGCTCATCCAGAGCTTTATGCAGAGACTTCCCTAAGTGTATCAGAATTTATGACTAGGGAAGCTTTTATGTTTGTGTATCTTTTTGACTTTTGGCAGTTGCCAAGGAACTTAAAGTGTTTGGGAAGATTGTGAGGTTTACTTATGAGAGATCAAATGTTCTTTTGACTTTCTGCCTCTTTAGGATTGGAATTCTTGCACTATGTGTTCTGTCTGTCCAGAATAATTGAGAAGTTCATAATGAACCCATAGTTAATTCAGAAATGTTTTATTCAATAATCTGTGCTTGTGATTAGTAATTGCCATATATGGATTTGACATACAGTGTTTTTAAGTCATGCAGGTAAGGACATGGTCTGTTTTTTCTTGTCATGTCTGTGTTTTTTGTAGAAATGTCTAGTCTCTTAACTGGGTAAAGCTCAAGATTCACTTAAATACAGAATTCTGAGAGAGAGATCAGATGAAAATGAGCCCTAAGTAGAAAAAGGAATTATAGAAAGCTAGTAGCTCTAGAAAGAAACAATAACTCCAGAAATGGAAAGCAACCTAATATGGAATGGATAAAAAGTCTAATAACACATCAGAGTGGACAAATTAATTCTTTACTGAATGCAAAGTAAGAAGAAACATACTGAAGCAAGAGCATGCAGAGAGGAAATTGGAAAGGCCAGGGCAAAAATTGGCCTTGTCTTAAAGAGATTTCTACAGCAATACTTAGTATTGGAAAGTGGAAAGTACTGATAGCTGATTCCTGAAAGGTATGCTTTTCTCCATTAATTCGCTAACACAGTCAAATAATGGAAACTACTTTCTAACGTTAAGGATGCATTAATGTTCAACACTTAGAAACAGTGGATCTGCCATCATGTATATAAGATTTTCAGGCCTGGGCCTGAAAGTTGGACAGATAATCACTTGAGATTCCTGCCAGTCTTCCTCTATTTTTTGATGCCCTGAATGATCGAGGTGTCTTCATGAAGCTATACAGAATCTTTATTTCCATCAGTGTGGACCTGATTAATTCTTGTTTGCATAGATTTGTGGGCATAACATTCACAGATTTTATTGTTGTAGATGATCTTGTCTAAACAATGAAATTTTGATGTAAATTTAGTTTTTAAGATTGTTATTGCAAATCAGCAATTAAATATTATAAACATGAATTTACTTGGATTGGAAATAACTGATTGAAACTTTGAACAGTTTCTAGATACAATTTTGATAACTATGTTCTGTACACTTACACTTTACATGGAACAGAGTCCAAGAAAGCTTCTGGGCATACTAGGGAAAGAAAGCTTGAGCCTGTGTTATTCCTAATCATGGGTTTTACTAATATAGACTGAGATGAAGATTAATCTCCAGGGCTTTGGTTTCCCTGACTGCATCTCTGCATGCTTGGACTGTGTCCCTCTTTTCCTCACAGGTTATGTGTCCCTCCTTCCACCTTCTGTATACTCCCTTTCTATGTTTCAGTTTTTCCAGGAGCTCCTTGTTGATCCATTCAGGCCCCCTGGGGTATTTGCCTGACTTCTGGCTTGTTGTTATGGACTGCACTTGAGCTTTCCTGGACCCCATCCCTCCAGGGCCTTATCCCACATGACTCTAACAAGCAGATCCAGTCAGTGGCCAAAATCTGCTCTCATGAAGTCTAGGGTTGTCATTTTTATTTTTGCCCTGCTCTTCTCAGCATCCTGAACTCCATCATCTATGGTCACTGCAGCCAAGACTGCCTTTTACCTTCACATCCTCAGTCAGTCATTCTTTGTCTGTGAGTATGAGGTCCAGCAGAGCACCTGTCGTTGTTTCCTCGGTTGCTTTTGTCAGGAAGTTGTCGTCAGTACTCTCTAGGAAACCCTGGGGTTGCTTACGCTGTGCTGGGTTGGTCGTACATCAGATACTAGAGGGGCTGAAGTCCTCTATGAGGACCAGGCCCTGAAAACACAAGGCTATTTCTAGCTGTCTGTAGGAGTCCTCATCTATTTGTTCTGCCCAGCTTGGCAGCTTATAGCAGACCCCCACTGCAGTGTCACCTATAC